TTATTTCTAGGAAAGATAAATAACCTAGATACCGACTGCAGCACCATCTGCCGGGCTCATTTATGAATCTAAACCATCCAGGGTGCCACCCAAACGCATACAAAAAAAAAATCATTCAAATCAGTCCAGCCGTTTAGGAGGAGCTCAGTGACAAACACACGCACAGAAGAAATGTATATAAAGATAATACTTTTTTGGAACAGTTCGCAAGTCGCGTTGACGTTTCTGTGCCAGAAAACATCTCTCAACTGCCAACAGCTACTACGTAACTTTCAGCTCAGACGAACCGGCCGTTTCTTCATAAAATTAAACCACCTTCAAAGCGAAAAAGATAAAAAGAAACATATTTACGCGTTACAAAAAGTCGACATCGATAGAACAAAGCCCATCACTATCGCCCGCCATAATTCACAGTCCACAAATCTCGATGGCCGTTAAAATTTTAACCGGGACACTCTGAACAAAGCATTACGGCTTGGTTCAAGGGTCCGCGAAATGTCAAGAAAATATCTGGAATCAGCAATGAATAGAATATGTATTATCTCGGCTGGAACCGGTGACAGGAATGACGGCTAATCAATTTAAATAATCACTTTTGAATGTCCGAATTGTTTGTAAATTCGTTCAATCGGATTATTATTATACCTGTGATCGTTTCTAATAACATTAGTTTTATCGCTACTGCTACCAGATACATAATAAATAAATAGAAACGTCAACATGTAGACTGAATGCGTTTTGAGTATATGCTAATGACAGTTTCATACTTAAGTACTTTTAACATTTAAGCTCACAAGACAAAATAGAATTAAACTCCAAAAGTTTGTACTGTTTCAGAAATTGTATGCTTCTCATTATTGCATGTTACTTGTTTAGTATTAATACACATATTATAACTATATATGAGACAATGAAATCTAATAATGAAATTAATACTAAATACATATCTTAAAAAATAAAATAAAAAATAAATGTGTGGTGTCGTGGGACACCGGATAGGAACGAAGTTCCTTATTATAAAAATATTAATTTTATGTTCTATTCGAGGTATAAAGAAAACAATTATTCGGGTATACATTTTTATTATCATTTATTTATTGATAAAAAAATATGTTATATTTTGTACGTTATTACAAAGTTAAGTCGCACACTGTGTGTGCATTACTAATAAAAATCTTACGTTACGGACGTTTTTTCCCGGTTAGGGTACCCCTCCGCATAGTTCCATAAGGAACATCGTTCCAATAATAATGCTGAGTTCAATTTATGCTAAATTAATAAACGCTTAATATTCTCTAGTCCGAACACAAAAATACATTTAAATGTTGAATTTAAATTTAAAAAGGGGACCCATAAAAGCCTCTCCCAACCCGCTCACAGCTCGTTAAGCCACGTACGCACAAAAATAGCACGCTTATTTCAAAATAACGTATTTTCAAAATAGTCCGCCACTGGACACCTGAACGCGATAAATCTAGTCGCTTATTTTAAAGCGCCCGTTAGTCTGCAAAACGCGGTTTTAGATGTTGAAGTTTAGTTAGTTAGCTTCAGTGAACTAATTGCGAAGTTATACTACCTACTAAGGAAATTTGCTTTGAAAAATATTCGTAGGTAATTTTTTTAAGTTAGTATGCATTTTGATTGTCTCTAGTTTTTCAAGTTAATTAACATTTTATTTAACGTTAATACATAGTTCTTTAGGATAATTTTTGTTTTAAAAACAAACTTGTTGCTTAAGGATCATATATATTACTCTTGATTTAAAATTTGAATGAGATATGCAAATAATATCGAATACTATCTTGTCTGCTATGCTTTTATTTTTAGTTCGCGCAAGTTTTAATATAAGAAAGCTCAAGAAATACGTACTTAACAAATGTTCACGATTTACTTTCACGGTGAAGGAATAACATCGTGTAATAAAAATCTAACCCGCTAAAATCATAATTTGCGTAATTACTAGTTGTAGGACGTTTTGTGGGTTCTACCCGTACCACCACCCTGCCTATTTCTGCTATGAACAGTAATGCTCATATTTCAAGGTGGGTGGCCGCATTTACGTTGGAGATGTCTATGGGCTCCGGTAACAATTTAACACCAGGTCGTCTGTGAGCTCGTATACCCATATAAGCAATAAAAAAAAGATAAAGTATGTTCGTGTATGTATTCGTACTACGTATTCGTATTTTATCAGTGACATTCCATTGACACTGACAAAATACGTTTAATCATTTGATTCTCTAGCATGAACTAATATGCCATGTAACCAATACTTTCCTTTTTTGCTTGAATACATTTTTTCCAGTAAATTCACTCACAGTTGAAACTTCCCATTGCCGCTCGAAGTGTTGAAAGACTGCCGAACATTTTTATGCCGCGCTTCTTTCGACCTAAATCAATCATCTCCTCTCAGAGAACACACATAAAACAATTAATCTCTCGCGAAATAAGTCCGTTCATTTATCAAGAGAGCACTGAGTTATTTTTTTAAACTGCAACAAGTTATGACGCGGTCTTTGGTAGCATGACTCGCGTGGCAATGTCGCTTTGACGCATTATGTATTCGCTTGCGACGCGTAAAGGGCTATGTTTATGAGTGTTTATGAGAAAACCAGGGCCCTGAAACTGCAATATTTGAAGACAAATATTTTTTGACGTGACAACGTCTTATAATTCGATGGAGCCGGCTGCACGCACGAAAAAATGACTCATGCGGCGTTACCTCGCTCTGAGGCGTTCCATTTAAGGCTTGAAGTGTAAGCGAGAGCGCGCAACGAGCGACAAAGAGGCACAATCGGCCTCCGCGTTCGGAAGCGTTCGACGTCTGTCTCTCTCCTACTTGAGTGAGCGATGCATCCGCGTGGACAGCTGCTATACAATAATACATTTACATGTTTTCGTCAAGTATGAAGTTCAGTGAAAAGTGAATGTGTTGTCAATTGTCCATACAAAATATCTATCAAACAAATAAAATTTTGAAAAATGAAACCACTCCATCAGTATTTTCTTATGAAGTTGTCACGTTCAACTATCGTCAGTAAACCGACTTTACAGACAACCGATTTTTGTATGGAAACTAGCGACATCTTGTAGCGGATGTCCTTAAACTTATATGGGGTTAAAGTTAAGGCATTTAATTATTGTGTAACTAAGCACAGAAAATACAAAAAAATAAATCATACAAGTATTTATTTGTTAAAGACAAATTGATTAAATTTTAGCAATTTGTGGTTTCTGAAAATTTACAAAATCCATAATTAAAAATAAATCAAAGGATAGGTAATATGTTATTGCCATCTACAGGAGCAATGAGAAACTAAACGAAGCGAGGCCATCTAGTGGCCGACGCCCTTAAACATTTTTGTTGAGCGCTTGAGTTGCTCATCTATAACTAATTTATGTTTTTTTTTTATTGGCATAAGAACAGTAAGTACGCAAATTACAAATATTCATACAAAAAAAAGCTGACATAGCTTTCGTATTCATTTACTATTAACAAAAAATGCAATTAAAAATATCATACAATCAGGGTTTATTATGAAACCTCACGGGAACCGACGTCATTTCTTTAATCTAGTTTCATTTAACATCCACAGTGCGTTTCCAGAGATTTTTTTTGCCACGTACCATCCGGCTATGGAATGAGCTCCCCTCCACGGTGTTTCCCGAGCGCTATGACACGTCCTTCTCCAAACGAGGCTTGTGGAGAGTATTAAGCGGTAGGCAGCGGCTTGACTCTGCCCCTGGCATTGCTGAAGTCCATGGGCGACGGTAGCCACTCACCATCAGGTGGGCCGTATGCTCGTCTGGCTACAAGAGCAATAAAAAAAAATTCATTGAACAAAACAGGTGTACAACAAAGTAAATTTTGTAGTACGTCTGAAATCACAGGCACAAATCAACCGATAATATTTTTAATCGTTACATTGAACTCATTTAACCTATTTCGTTATTTTCTACAATATGATCGATGAATATAAATATTTTCATCTGTTCACTGTTTATGTTATGGAATAATGGCGAAAAATATTAACGGACAGACAATAAATAAATGCTAATATATATTGTTTAACTTCATTTCAATCAGTTCGTAGACTAAACAGTATAATTATGTTCATAGATTACCATGAAAAAATGAAGTGCTATCAAATGAAATTTGCCAAATTTATTAATTTACTAGCTGTACCCGTCCGCTAAGCTGGGCATTTAAAATTAACATTATTATTTCTCACCCCCACAAAGATTCTCATTATTAACGCCCCCGCACTGGTGTAGGGAGTCCAACACTCATATAAGTATTAGCCTATCCATTAGGTACGTGTATTTTCTACATGGATACCAAATTTTAAGTCAATCGGATGCATGGTTCAGTAGTTATAACGGAACATCCAAACTGGTGTAGGGAGTCCAACACTCATATAAATATTAGCCTATCCATTAGGTACATGTATTTTCTACACGGATACCAAGTTTTAAGTCAATCGGATGCATGGTTCAGAAGTTATAATGGAATATCCGTAAAAACCACTGTAGGTTTATATATTAGTATAGATGTTGTTAGTGGGTGGTAGCGCGTCTTAAAGAGATTTGGATGAACGGTATGAAAGAGAATATGCGAGAGAAGGGTGTTAGTGCCGAGATGATTTATTATCACGTATTTCCTTCTTTTTGAAAAGAAGGAAATGCGGCGACCCCACATATTGGCATAAGGGCAAGCAGAAGAACTGGTAGGGCGTATTGTGAATCAGCAAGGATACGGTTAGGTACCACCATTCCACGTTCTGGTACCCACAGGCTCGATAACCATCTAAACTAGGATGTGAGGGAGCCAAAAACTTTTTGCAGGTTTGTTTAAATGACACGATATTATTATTACACTGTTCATCCTTAACGTGTGTCAGTAAAAAATGGTACCTGCCTAAGATTAGAGTATCGGTAAAAACGCTTCTACGAAATAGTCACGAGGCGGTTTTTAACCAATAAATCCCTTATTGTTCCAGATGACAATTACACAGTAATTGAAGCGGCAACAAATGATAGACTTCGTCTGATCTGCGGCCTTAAGCCTCGGAGTCAAGCACAGATGGTGGAGTGGTTTAAAGATGGCCAGGCTCTGGATGGAGTCTCCAAGAGGATAACACAACAAAGGCAATGGTTAGTAGACACATCTAATTTTTTGAAAAATATTTTGAAAACCTTGAGGACGGAAAAAAAATTGACTTTCCGAATAGCAGCATCTCGTCCCTGATAATCATTTAGCGTGGCCACTTACTTATCTTTTGATTCCAATGGACACCAATACGTTAGGTATGTTGGCATAGATATCAAAGCATACAATAGATGCAAATTAATAGATACAAATGTAAATAGCATCATTTTGTGCAATAACATTAAAACTCAAAATTGTGTAACTCCATTTGTAATTCCTTGTTATAAAGTATATATATTTCATGATGCGTGGTAAAGTACTTATTTTAGTACGGAATGTGTTATGCCAAGCCATAAAGCTCATGATTATCTACCGACACTTGGCACGGCTCGAAGCAAACATGAACACTCGAATACCTTTGTAAACCATATATTGATGTAGCGTTTCAGCGAACCGAAATAGGGACACGACTTTCCCGAAACCAACTGGGAACGCATCAATATTTACTGGTCTTAAAATACGCGTAATATTTCATATTCACACGCGGTTGGACGTTAGTTTATCGGTCTATTCGAGGCATATGAAAACAAACTTTCGGTCAAGATAACTTGTTATATTAATAAGGATATTGAAAAGGTATTTCGCAACGGTTGCTTTCCAAAGGGTTTTGTTTCGTGGGTATTGATTGGAATGTGTTATAATATTGAAACTGGTAATCTTATAAAATCAATAAAGTCATATTTCTTCGTTCTATTCTTAAAAGGTTCCAAGATATTAATTCGGATTTAAGCAATATCACCATAAGGTACAAAAAAGAGAAATTTGATGCTTAATTCCATAAAATATTTCAGGTTAAGAATAAAAGGATTTAGAGCGAAAGACGCTGGTGTTTACTCGTGCCAAAACGAAGAAGATAAGTTCAAGGAAATGGCTGTCACGATCAAGCACAAGATTGGACAAGATCAAGATAATTTAGAAGGTAATGTTTCCCAGAGGCGACAACATTGAAACTCAGTTCTTTAAATATGACACACGAACAGACACACCGAACAGATTCTATTTTCATATAATATTTTATTGGCGTCTTTATTGGTCATCCAGATGTATAAACACAGACAGACGTCGACACTGGATTCCGTTGTTAATATGAATGCAATGTTGCATTCGATATTTGAAAATAAATGTGTTTTAAATAAATATAATTACGTGTTTTTGAACGCTACAGGATGCACTTAAAGTCTTAGTTCGGAATGCCACGTTTCCTGTCGTCGAAAATTCTGATGACGTTTTAATTTTAATTCATATAAAACATAAAACTTTTCCTTTAACTCAATCAAATACTAACAAATAAAATTGTTCGCGGGTTCATTTATTTACGCCGGTAAACTCATTCTACCTTGAAATACTCTCGCGTGTTACAGAATATCAAGCAGATGTGGATATAGACAGGCCAATGCCAGAAATACTATCGCAACACCAAGCTGTTTCGCTACACGAAAATAACAAATTTGAAGAAAATACGACTGAAATAAAACGATTAGCAAGAACAATGAAATTAAAAGAAATCGATCCAAAAGATGAGGATCCTGATGATAAAAGTGAAAAGGATCATCCCATTTACGGACACGTGGATGAAACTAAAAAGAAATACCCTCCCAAATTCAAACATCCATCAAAAATGTACACTATGGAAATGAAGCCTGCTGGCAGCTCTGTCAGATTTAAATGTCCTGCTGAAGGTAAGATTTTATGATCAGATTGAAACGATGTAGGTATGTACCCACTAAAATTAGCCCTGCTTGTTCATCATGGCTAATGCAGGACACCTTTAATTATTCTTAGTTCTCGATGATAATAAGTAATGACAAATTTATATCAATTGATTCGACCGCATCACACATTGTGTCGAAAGTACTTTGTGTTTTTATATTATTAAAACAAAAAAAAACTTTGTTAATGTGGTTTAGTCATGTATTGGAAATATCTGATTTTCAGGGAATCCCACGCCAAATATTACGTGGTACAAAAACAAAAGTAATCCAATACAAAGGACATACTTCCAGCCTAGCTACGCTAAATGGGCGATAAATTTAGATGAACTTACCAAAGCAGATAACGGAAATTACACTTGCGTTGTTTGCAATGAACTGGGTTGCATTGAGCATACTGTTGTGTTACACATACAAGGTAGGATTCATGTGCCATTTACCTATTCATCTAAGAATTATAGTAACAATAAATTATTTAATTGAACCACAAAAATTTGATGTGCCCTACAATTTCTTAGAGCGTTATCCATCGAAGCCGTATATTAAAGAAGGCTATCCTGGTAATAAAACCGTCTTGCTCAACGAGACTGTGAAGCTCTCCTGCCCACCAGTCTCTGACCTGGAGCCATATCTTTACTGGATCCGACCGACGAATTACTCTATGAAAGACGTAGAAGTTGGGCCGAGTGATATGCCGATTCCTGGGGGCGATCTTATTGAGGTCTAGAATTTTGTTACGGTGAAGGGTCTCGTAATAACCATTGGCTTAGAATAAGATCGATTCTCTTGCAAATTGACAGATTGGATATGTTGAAGCTTTGAAGCATTGGACTTGTTTTAGGGATAGTATCTAAATTGTGTTCCAAATCTTAGATGACCTGAGGTCGTTTTTTACATGTAAATTGTCATTTTGCAAGATTCTTTTAGGGGTCAGTTTAATGTCGGTGAAAGATTCATTACCATAGAATATTTGTGTATAACATACCATCTTGGTGACGGCTTGTTGGTTTGGGTACAATGTATTTTGTTTAATAACATTCGATTGTAAGTTCATTATTAAATTCTACGTCATTACTACGTTGTAGATTTTAGAATATATAATTTTATTTTTCTATAATATGTTTATTGAGATCAGAGGAACAAGGTTGGATATAATAAGCGCTTTCAAATTTTATATCATTTGCTTTCCAAACGTAACTGGCTCTAATATTTTAAACATAAGTTTTGTTTTGGTTATGACCAAACAACTTCATATTTTAGTAAACTAAAGCCGACCTTGTACTTCTAATGTCGAAATAAATGTAATTCAAACAAGAAGATTCTGGTTTTTATAGAGCGCCTATACGCGAAGCCAGTTCTCACGCAAGGCGCAGTCAATCAAACTCGGATCGTAGGAGAGACGGCAAGATTCTCTTGCGATTTCCTCTCGGACATGCATCCGTATCTCTACTGGATGTATTTCTCGAAGGATGATTACGTCTATAGCGATGCCATCGATAGCGACGGCTCTGTTCTCGACTTAAATGACACGAGCAAATTCGTAACGGTGAGGGCCAAGTGACTAACGCATTTACGTGTGGGGCTTTGCATGCTTGTAACATACTCAAGTTTTGCCAGTTGTTTTATTGAAAGCTATAATCATGTTTTTACCTTTTTTTGTTAATTATAATTAAGCGTTTATATACCTATTTGTGTGTTTTGTTTGAGAGAAAAGCTTTGCTTTAAATTTCCAAAAAATATTTTTCATTCAGTTTTATGAAGGTTTTTTTTAAAAATCCAAACGATATTTAGCGCCATATAAATTTGGACATGATATAGTCAAGAAATTTGAGTTTTTTTTTTATAAATTTGACTGCATAATCTATACTTTGGCCGCTTTAATTAATTTTGTCTTCGAGCTTTTGCTTCTAGCTTTTGTGATTAGTTTTGTAGACACCTTTAATAAACCAAATGCAGTTCTCGTAACTTGATAATGTGATGCTAATAGACGTATTATCGGGATATTTACTGAAGATACATGATCGTATATTACAGAGCGATGATCCGTTTGACAAGTTGGAGCAGCTGACATTGTACAACGTGACAAAAGAAGACGAAGGCTGGTACGTCTGCGTCGCTCTCAACACACTCGGCAATACAACCGCGAAAGGATACCTTACTGTTCTTGAATGTGAGTATTTTACTGTTCACTTTTAAGAGTCGCCTTCAAAAGAATCACACTTCTTTTTATAGCTTTGATGGTTGGACGAGCTCACGGTCCACCTGGTGTTAAGTGGTAACCAGAGCCCATAGAAATCTAGAACGTAAATGCCCCCATCCACCATGAGATATGATTTATAAGGCTTCAAACCGAAACCCATTAATGATTTTCGGCAGATATAGGTAGGGCAGTGGTACTTACCCGTGCAGACTCACAAGACGTACTACCACTAGTAAATGTGCGAGCCAATGGGTGTGACGAACAGAAAGCTCTGTCTAACATTAAGAATACCTTCGTATATATGCATATTTATAAATATACATGTATGTGCGAAAACAAAAAAAATACGATTGTGTACTTAAAAAAAATCTCGGACCAATAAGCAAAAGTCAAAAGAGAAAGTAGTAAAGGTCTATATCGCGGCGCGTGTTTGATATCCTGTCTAGAAATAAATACAGTAAATACCTAATAATATAAAAAAGCATTTAAGTAACAAGAAAATATATGTAAATTAGAGAGAATAAATGAGATTATAATATATCGGTTAATGGTTGGTTACAATGATCAATTTCATACTAAAATAATACTTTTATTACTAGTCATTTCGAACTTTCGTAAAAAGCGCCTGATGTTTTTAAGTCGTAAGTTTTGTTTAGGTATTGCTGCTATTACCTAAGACAGTAAGTGGAGTAGTAAGAAAGGAGTAGTAGAAGTTCTAAGCGCAGATTTTCTGAGGAACAGTTGGATAGACCTATGTACTTTTTTTCTTCGTGCCCTTAATTCCTATTATTATGTGGAATCAGCGTAATGAGTCTTCTTTCTCCATTGTTATACTGCGTAGAGATTTGGCATGAGTTTTAGGATCGGACGCCTGCTTGATATTAAATTTCCTTAGGGGTGCTATCGTTGGCATGAAATTGTAAGTCCCATAGTCGCCTAACATTTTGCGGGATTCAAAATCAACAAACTACTCGTTTGTAAGCATTTTGTGTTCTTTTGCAAATTAATATCTACTGGAGCCCATAGACATTATAACGTGAACGTTGTCTTTAACGGTAGGCAGCGGCTTGGCTCTGCCCCTGGCTTTGCTGAAGTCCATGGGTGACGGTAACCACTCACCATCAGGTGGGCCGTATGCTCGTCTGCCTACAAAGAGCAATAAGTAAATAAAAAGACGAGAGGTCGGAATCTCAATTGTATAACGTATCTCTCATTCTTCAAAGCGGAAATCATGCGAAATATCAGTTACCACCGCCCACGCAAAGATAAGACAAATCGACTTAATTGTAGTTGCAATTCTTGAGTCCTTCCACAACCATGTTAAAGATAATCACTTATCTATTTACCATCAGTTTACGTCTATTGCTTTAAGTATTCAAGCTATTCGCTGGTATCTTTGTGATTGATTTACTGCTGTTAGACACAGAAAGCTACGGTATTTCCGATGCAAATGTCTCCCTGTGTCAGCGTAATTGTGTAATTGCATTTATTGCTTTCAACGTACCTACGTAGGCGCGCTTTTCGTATCTTTAGCGACGCTTCATTTGTTTAACTTGTTAGTTGCCTAGAATTTAAGATAAGGTTTTGTTCACCAATTCACGGATAGCTGTGAGTCTGTTGGTATAAATTTCACTAATTCGGACATCATTTGCGTTTGTTTAAAAAAGATAATTTTTAGAAAATGAAATAGTTAGTGGTGAGCGGTTTAAATGTTCGAAATTTGCAAATGAAAACCAATGACAACGTGCGGAACCTATAATTTAAAATTTATCACGATTTTTTTTGATATAGTTATTAAATTTTATATATTAGATATTTTGTAGCATAAATAACAGGAAAAGTTAACCACACAATTCGTAATTACCAAACTTTTATTAATCTTGATAATTATAGTGTTCGCTAACGAAGTTTATGAATGCCTTAATTTTTAATTAATTACATTATATTTTATATAACAGCTCCTCCGGAATTAGAGATACCGGATCACGGCAAGCACACGCTTCTAATCAACATACTGACCGCGGTACTCGGGGCTATGTTCTTCGTGGCCGCCATTATAGTGGTGATGGTCTTCAAGAAGCTAAAGCGAGAGAAGTTGAAGAAACAACTGGCAATAGAGACCGCGAGAGCTGTTATCGTTACGCACTGGACGAAGAAGGTCACAGTCGAGAAGCCACAGATGAACGGGTCCCCTAATACTACAGGAGAAGCTCTGGTAAGATTCGTTCTTGTTTATTGAATTCACTTCACAAGTGTCGTGGCGTGCAAACTCTTTGACAGGACCTACAATGGCTAATACTAGACATAGACTAAGACAGAGACTTGACAAGAATTCGAAAAGAAACAAAAGAAAGAAAAGGAACGAGGGCGGACGTGACTATCAACAGGCAGTACTTTTATTTATTTATTTATTTATTTAATAAACAATGTTTCAACAGCATTTAACTAGACACAGGGTACAGAGGATGTTTTCCCAAACATGAGCCAATTAAAGAAACACATTATGTTTCCAGAAAATTTTAACATAATTAATGAACACAGGTAGTTCAACTAAGGTAATACTAATTAAGGTAATATTAATTGGTAGGTACTTTTAATGCCTTCCTAAAAGATAGACACGAACCAGACGACAAGGAACGAATTGACCATTCAACAAGGGTGTCTCTTAGATATTGCAGCGTAAAATTTGTCGTCCATATTGAAACATAGGATCGAAGTTCAATTGCATTAGAATAACGACTATCCTTCCACTAGAATAAGAACACATTTACAACAGTAACATTGGGTCGGTATTACTAAGAAGGGCATATTTAATATGCTCCTCCACTATAATGTATCCATCACATTCCCAAAATATTTTAGCAGATTCAACATTTGATCTTGACGAAAGAAAAAATCAAATATTAATGTCGACTATTGAAATTAAAACTGAAATATTAATTTTTAACAGCTGATGCCAGTCGTCAAAATCGAGAAGCAGAAACTGTCACAAGTACAGAACAATACATCGGACTCGATGATGATGTCGGAATACGAACTCCCAATGGACATAGACTGGGAAGTTCCCAGGGAATCGTTGTCGTTGGGAAAAGTCCTCGGCGAAGGGGAGTTCGGGAAGGTGGTGAAGGCTGAGTGCGTCGGCATCCTGAAGCCGGGCTTGCAGTCCGTTGTTGCGGTCAAGATGTTGAAAGGTTTGATTTTTTTTAATACTACAGACATATTCATTTTTTTCCCTATCTATGCCTAGCTTTGAGAGGCTAGTTCAGCTTCACTTTAGCGTGTTGGTGAGTTCTTTGGGCTTAAACCGGAAGTACTGTTAATACTGGCCCTAGCAAGAGCAGTGTTTTCCAGAATCTACCACCGGATCGCAAACGCGATCCACTGAGAAGATCCGACGAGAAATTCAGTGGCTCGTATTAATAGGTGCTATACACACATTGGTTATTCCTTGCTAAGAATATATTGAAACTTTTGAATTAAAAAGGAGGGAAAAATCACGTCATCCTAACTTAATTTGCAGAGGGTCACACGGATGCTGAAATGATGGCGTTGGTGTCGGAAATGGAGATGATGAAGATGATAGGGAAACACGTGAACATAATCAACTTGTTGGGATGCTGCACGCAGGACGGACCTCTTTATGTCATAGTCGAGTACGCACCAAATGGAAACCTGAGGGAATTCCTGAGGAATCACAGACCCGGGAATAGGTGAGATACTTAGAAACGTATTTCCAAAAAAAGAGCTAATTGGATATTTTTTTTAAATGTAAGCAATTCTAATTCCATTTTTGTGCCAAATTAAGTTAGGACAGACGATGAAAAATTACATAGAAGCTATTCGTTCCCAACGAAAGACATCCCTGTGTCTAATTTGTTANTGAATTTTTGTGAGTTCGTTGTTCCGGGCTGTTGGCGAAGATGATATAGAAATAATGTTTACACTGATTTGGTATGAGGTTTTAATATAAAAGCGACACAATAACTAAAATAAAATACAAAATGAGTTGAGAATCGTACAGTTAATCTAAGACTCGCAATATTTTACTGGTCGTCGTCGCGCGCGCTGAGGGCGTGTGTTTTCGCGCTCAGAGAGCTCTGTCTCAGCGGGCGGTAAGGCGGCGGCGGGGGCGGTATCGCACGTTCGGAAATTACGTTCCGTTATACATGAGTTTTAGGGTCGGACGCTTGCTTGATGTTAAATTTCCTTAGAGGTGCTATCGTTGGCATACAATGGTAACCAGAATAAGTCCCTTAGTAGTCTAACATGCTGTGGGATTCAAAAACATTTTGTGTTTTTTTGCAAATTAATGGAGCCCATAAACATTACAACGTGAACGTTGTCTTTAACGGTAGGCAGCGGCTTGGCTCTGCCCCTGGCCTTGCTGAAGTCCATGGGCGACGGTTACCACTCACCATCAGGTAGGCCGTATGCTCGTCTGCCTACAAAGAGCAATAAATAAAAAAAGACAAGAGGTCGGAATCTCAATTGTATAACGTATCTCTCATTCTTCAAAGCGAAAATCATGAGAAATAGCAGTTACCACCGCCCACGCAAAGATAAGACAAATCGACTTAATTGTAGTTGCAATTCTTGAGTCCTTCCACAACCATGTTAAAGATAATCACTTATCTATTTGCCATCAGTTTACGTCTATTGCTTTAAGTATTCAAGCTATTCGCTGGTATCTTTGTGATTGATTTAATGCTGTTAGACACAGAAAGCTACGGTATTTCCGATGCAAATGTCTCCCTGTGTCAGCGTAATTGTGTAATTGCATTCATTGCTTTCAACGTACCTACGTAGGCGCGCTTTTCGTATCTTTAGCGACGCTTCATTTGTTTAACTTGTTAGTTGGCTAGAATTTAAGATAAGGTTTTGTTCACCAATTCACGAGTAGCTGTGAGTCTGTTGATATAAATTTCTCTAATTCGGACATCATTTGCGTTTGTTTAAAAAAGATAATTTTTAGAAAATGAAATAGTTAGTGGTGAGCGGTTTAAATGTGCGAAATTTGCAAATGAAAACCAATGACAACGTGCGGAACCTATAATTTAAAATTTATCACGATTTTTTTTGATATAGTTATTAAATTTTATATATTAGATATTTTGTAGCATAAATAACAGGAAAAGTAAACCACGCAATTCTTAATTACCAAACTTTTATTAATCTTGATAATTATTGTGTTCGCTCATGAAGTTTATGAATGCCTCATTTTTCAACTAATACATTATGTTTTATGTAACAGCTCCTCCGGAATTAGAGATACCGGATCACGGCAAGCACACGCTTCTAATCAACATACTGACCGCGGTACTCGGGGCTATGTTCTTCGTGGCCGCCATTATAGTGGTGATGGTCTTCAAGAAGCTAAAGCGAGAGAAGTTGAAGAAGCAACTGGCAATAGAGACCGCGAGAGCTGTTATCGTTACGCACTGGACGAAGAAGGTCACAGTCGAGAAGCCACAGATGAACGGGTCCCCTAATACTACAGGAGAAGCTCTGGTAAGATTTGTTGTTGTTTATTAAATTCACTTCACAAGTGTCGTGGCGTGCAACCTCTGACAGGACCTACAATAACTAGACATAGAATGGAAAAGAAACAAAAGAAAGAAACGGAATGAGGCCGGATGTGACTATCGGCAGGCAGTACTTTTAATGCCTTCCTAAAAGATAGACACGAACCAGTCGACAAGAAACGAATTGATCATTCAACAAGGGTTTCTCTTAGTTATTGCAGCGAAAAGTCGTCGTCCATATTCAAACATAGGATCGAAGTTCAATTGCATTAGAATAACGACTATCCTTACATTAGAATAAGAACACATTTACGACAGAAACATATGGGACGGTATTACCAAGCAGAGCATATTTAATATGCTCCGCCACTAGGACGCAAACACCATTCATCACTATGTTCCCAAAGTATCTCAGCAGATTGGACATCCGATCTTCACGAAAGAAATCAAATATTAAAGAAAATCAAATATTAATGTCGACTACTGAAATTCAAACTTAATTAATTTTCAACAGCTGATGCCGGTCGTCAAAATCGAGAAACAGAAACTGTCACAAGTACAGAACAATACATCGGACTCGATGATGATGTCGGAATACGAACTCCCAATGGACATAGACTGGGAAGTTCCCAGGGAATCGTTGTCGTTGGGAAAAGTCCTCGGCGAAGGGGAGTTCGGGAAGGTGGTGAAGGCTGAGTGCGTCGGCATCTTGAAGCCGGGCTTGCAATCCGTTGTTGCGGTTAAGATGTTGAAAGGTTTGAATTGTTTAAATATTACAGGCATATTGATTTTATTTTCCCTACCTATGCCTAGCCATGAGAGGCTATTTCAGCTTCACCCTAGCGTATAGGTGAGCTCTTGGGGCTCAAACCGGAAGTGCTGCTAATACTGGGTCTAGCAAGAGCAGTGCTTCCGAGAATCTAAAACCGGATCGCAAACGAGACCCACTGAGAAAATCTGACGAGAAACTCAGTGGGCCCGTATTGATAGGTGCTATACACATATTGGCTATTCCATACTAAGAATGTACTGAAACTTTTGAATTAAAAAGGAGGGAAAAATCACGTCATCCTAATGCTATGACTACAAACTTGATTTGCAGAGGGTCACACGGATGCTGAAATGATGGCTTTGGTGTCGGAAATGGAGATGATGAAGATGATAGGGAAACACGTGAACATAATCAACTTGTTGGGATGCTGCACGCAGGACGGACCTCTTTATGTCATAGTCGAGTACGCACCAAATGGAAACCTGAGGGAATTCCTGAGGAATCACAGACCCGGGAATAGGTGAGATACTTAGAAACGCATTTCTAAGAAAAGAGCTAATTGGATATTTTTTTTAAATGTAAGCAATTCTAATTCCATTCTTGTGCCAAATTAAGGTAGGACAGACGATGAAAAATTACATAGAAGCTATTCGTTCCCAACGAAAGACATCCCTGTGTCTAATTTGTTAAATATACCCAATTCATTGACTACGTGCTTCTTTTAAATAAATCAGATTTTTATGGTCCATTCTCAGGTACGAGTCACCAAACGAAGATTTGAAAGAAAAGAAGACGCTGACACAAAAAGATCTTGTGTCTTTCTCGTATCAAGTGGCCAGAGGAATGGAGTATTTGGCTTCGAGAAGGGTAAGTATTGTTGATTGAAAGGACTTACAGTATTTTAGATTCACGAAAATACTAACCGTATTTCGGTTTTCGCAAATCTTAGATATAATTAATACTGCTAGCTAAATTTTTTTAGTTAACATAATTTCCAAGAGTCAACTGATACCATCTCAATCGTAATCGCGGAAACCGTAACCTATTCAAAACGTTGGAAATAATGAAATGAAAATAATAAATGCGATATTTAATCGTATCAATATTGGATGTATTTTATTTGCGATTATCCCTCTGCTTAAGCAGCTATTATTTATTTTAAATTACAAATGAATTTCTTAAAAAATAATTGCCACATCTCAAATCGGGACGCGTAAATATTTTCGCACATTAAGTTTTTATCATAATGTCATCGAGATATGATGTCGTTGTTTAAGGCTATCCTAAAAAAAATATTTTTAAATGTGGGAACACACTAATAAGTATGCAGTTGCAGTTGTACAAAAAAATCTGGTCGTACGTGCACGTGTTGTACATCAAGAAATAAAAATCCTTCGCTCTGAATCTAGTTTTCATTGAAGCTAGCACACAATAAGCTCACGCTCTAAACAGTTGCAACTTTCACAATGTAATGCAATTTATTAATTTTTTGCTTATATGGGTGGACGTTCTCACAGCCCTCCTGGTGTTAAGTGGTTACTGGAGCCCATAGACATGTACAACGTAAATGCGCCACCCACCTTGAGATGTAAGTTCTAAAGTCTCAGTATAGTTACAACGGCTGCCCCGCCCTTCAAACTGAAACGCATCACGGCAGAAATAGTCAGGGTGGTGGTACCTACCCACGCGGACTCACAAGAGGTCCTACCATCAGATAAATGCGATTGGCAGACTCGATGAGGCGTGCTAGGAGAGAGCCATTAATATTAAGGAATACATGAATGAGATTAAGCCGCAAATCGCTTAGTGAGCTTGCACGCACATTCCAGTGCATCCACCGCGACTTGGCTGCTCGTAACGTGCTCGTGTCGGACGACTGCGTCCTCAAGATCGCCGACTTTGGTCTCGCTAAAGACGTCCACAGCAACGACTACTACAGGAAGAAGACAGAAGGGAGACTTCCCGTTCGGTGGATGGCGCCGGAGTCCTTGTACCACAAAGTGTTCACAACGCAGACCGACGTGTAAGTGGAAGTTTGACGATTGTACTTTTTAGGACTCTTCGTTTTTTGTTATTTTTAAGTATGGCGATTGTCTTCTCGTAATAAAATTGTTGCCAGGGTCGAATATAGTGAAATCATCAATTATTAAATTATTAGCTGTAAACACTCACCATCAGCCTCTCCATCAGCATCTCGTCAGCCTACAAGGGCAATAAAAAGCGATATGGAGGGAAATGAGAGAAATTTCATTTATTGAGAATGTAATCAATTGGGATAAAATTAAATAAAACGATATTAAACGGAATTAAATAGAGGCTCAGTAAAATTGAAGTTACTTATTGATATTTCAGTAGCCTTTTGCTTGGAGCCCGAAAAAAATATGACCTAAGGACCACACCAGAAACGTGTACGAGAAGACAAATTTGATGAGTTAAACCACAAAATAGAATAAATTTCATGGTGGAAATTACAAAGATTTTAGTAGTTTTTTTTTGGAACGAAGTTCCTTATTTATTTTACGAATGTACTTTTATGTAAATTCTTTATAAGAATTTAATACCTCGAGATCCATTAAGGGTGCTTTTAGGTACTTTAAACACTGGTCATCATCCCGCCGAACCCGTCGCTTGCGGCGAAGGGCTCGACGAGTAAATTAACCCATAGACACAGCCCACTGAGTTTCTCGTCGGATCTTCTCAGTGTCTTGCGTTTCCATCCGGTGGTAGATTCTGCGAAGCACTGCTCTTGCTAGGGCCAGTGTTAGCAACACCTCGGCTTGAGTCCCGTGAGCTCACCTACTAGCTCGGTAAATCTAGAATAACCCCTCAAAGTTACTAGAATAGGTATAAAAAAAATGAATCTATTTCATCTGATTAACAAACAATCTTGTCGGCTGCAGTTGGTCGTTTGGCGTGTTGCTATGGGAGATAATGACGCTGGGAGGCACCCCCTACCCCACCGTCCCCGGCCAGTACATGTACCAGCACCTCAGCGCCGGACACCGCATGGAGAAGCCACCGTGCTGCAGTCTCGAGATGTGAGTCCAGAACTGTGTACTTAGTGCGGGTTTTTTAACGTTCTCCATAGCTTAAAAATTAACGCAAATTTGTATTGAAAGTTTGCCTACGTTTGCCGTTAAGGGCGCTGTTCCAACTGTATGCATAGGAATTTAAGTTAACTTTTACGCGATCGAGGACATTAAAAAACTTGCACTAAGCATACTGATACTTACTTAGCTGTCAGGGGAATCGACAAATCGATCTTGTCGTTTTTTTCAATATAAAAAAATCGTAATTTTTTATTATCAATTATTTGCGGATGAAACAGAAAAATAGAAATTTAGTCAAAATCTAAATAAAAAAAATTTCGCGTACCAATTATAACACGTCATTTTTTATCGACAAATTAAGCTAAATATTTTAATTACATTTCTGTAAATCAAAATTATGTAATTAATTTTATAATTTTTATACTTTTAGTTACATGTTAATGCGCGAATGCTGGTCGTTTTCACCCGGCGACCGGCCGTCCTTCACCGAGCTGGTGGAGGATCTGGACAAGATTCTCACGGTCACGGCCAACCAGGAGTATCTGGACCTAGGCCTGCCACAGTTAGACACACCTCCTTCAAGTTACGACGGCTCCGGTGACGAAAGCGACGCTGAATTTCCATTTATAAAGTAAATAAAAAAAAAAAAAAACAGAAAAACAATGTGTAATGTGCCTTAATTTAGCGCCTCACGGGCAGTGATACGTTTGCGTCTGTAATACTCAAACGAGAATTTCGAATGTTCTAGAATAGGAAAGTTTTTTTTTTTGTAAAAAGAAAATAAATCAAATATGGAAGCATTTCGAATAGTGATGTGGAACGCCGAGGTGATTTTTAGATGTTATAGTAATTCAACACTGTGTTTTTCGTGTTGTCTTTACTTAATATTTAGAGAAAGGCTGAATGAAAGAACTTTTCGTGAAATAGGTTTAATATTGAATAACATTATTGAATAACATAATTTGTGCTGTATTAATTAAATTGCAATAATATGTTCATGAAATAAAATATGAAGAGTGAACGACATTGACATTTATCAAATGTGTCACTGTTTTTTTTATGTCAGAATAACGAACGTAACATTTTCATAATACTCGTTACGAGATTAATTTGGTTGATAATGGTGTACATAGGGACAAATAAAAAAGTATGTAACTCGAATTTTTATTTGAGAAAACTAAGCAGTTCTTAAGGGCTTCTCATGCTATGTTGTGGACCACAGATAAAATAATTCGAGTCAAGTGGAGAGAATGAATTCGTATTCGGCAATGAGTGATTGATACAAATAAAAGGTATATTGTAATCCCACCTACGTATTTGAGTTTTTAATGTTTATTTTGTACTGGATTTTAATTAGATTTTGAATTATTGAAAATCACGAAACGCAATTATTGTATATTTTTATTTATTGATGATGCTAGTTTGTTTTGAATCATGTTTCATTTTTCTTAATTTATATTTCGAGTGCAGATACTACTAAAAAAGTATCGTTTCACTAAATTAAGAATTTCAAAATTTTATTAGATACTTTAGTATAGATTTACTCAATCATGTATTTCGTAGTAAAATTTTATGAAGTTATGATTTAAGACGAATCTCTTCTAATTTTGAACTCTATAAGTGTTAAAAGTGTTAAAGCAGACAAAACTTTTCACCGACACGCGCTGGCAATACAGTAGCTGTCAAATATCCAGCATTACGTAAGATATTTATTTAGTGTCCATAATTATTAAGTACATAATACTATGCATAAGTAAAGTGAAATAAGAATAAAGTAATGTTTGTAAATAAATAATTTGCGATGGTTTTGTAAATAGTTAATTTAGTACCAAAGTTCAGTTTTACAAATATTCTATACGTAGGCCGTTTTATATTACGAAGAAAATTGTAAATTTTGATAAATTTATTATCAAAGCTATCAAAATAATAGTATTATAAATGTTATAATTAAAAAAAACATAACATTATTAATCATCATTAAAGTCTAGTCTTTAAGTATTTTAGAGAATAGTCTACATACATTGATGGCTCGTTGTCTTTGGAAAGTTATACATTTATTTTAGCATTTTTCTAGCATCTATTTGTACTTAACTAGTTTCACAAATGTTTATTCAGAATATTGAAGATTATTTGTAAATAAAACTGATGTATAAGATAGGAGGAACAAAGGAATAAATGAAATGTTTTATGAGATGGAAATCGAATTTCTTATTAGTATTAAAAATGTATAGGAATTTAAGCCATACATTTTCATTTCTACCAAAAAGGTAGAATTTATTCTTAATGACAGCATTATTTCTATTATATGGTTGAGAGACTGCTGTAGTTATAGCAAAATTAAATGTCTTTCGAAAATATGTTTTGAAGTAAACTTTTTGTTTGTATATTTGAATCATTTTGGAAGTGTCTTGTGAAAGAAAACCGAATAAATATTTAGTTTGGTTGCAGTGTGTCGTTTTAATTATCTTTAACCTTCACCCGCTAGCCTTTTAAAACCTAAACCTTTTAAATTATGACAGAAATTCGGAAGTTACTGTGCTACAAGGAAAAAAAATACAGCTTGAATAGAAATATTTTAATTAAGTAATATTAACTATATCTAATGTAATAAAAAAACACTTATAATCATTTTGAAACCAACCGACGCATCGCAATAATTATCGAAGAGGCATTTTAAAGTGTAAGGAATATCGTCATCATCAACTCGTAGACATCCACTGTTGGTGATAGGCCCCAAGGTTCACCATCATGACCTGCGCCGCCTGTATGCTGACTTCCACGATCTTTAGCAGGTCATCGGTCCTTTTCGTGGGAGGCCTAGGTTAAGTATTAGCCATGTTATTGTTCTCGAGATGGCAACAATTTTTAATCAGGAATTCTGTGTACAAGCATGCCTTTCTTGGCAGTACAAAATAGTCACTTTTGCCTCGTATTGAGTTAACACAATCCGCCATTATCTTTTTAATAAAGATAACTAGCTAACCTATAGGAATGATTTAAATGTAACGATGTTTTTTTATTATTGTCCATTTAAAGGAAATAAAACAAAAGAAGCGTTGTTTGTCAGATTTTTATTTACTTTTTACACGATTTTTTTTCGTTTCGTTAATACACAATATTAGACTTACATACCAAATTACAGATTATAATTAATGTAAATATTTTCGCGTACAATTATTATCACATTGTTTAGGATATTCCAGCACATTATTACACTTAAGCTTATTGGATATATGTACGTAAGAAGAATTTAAACAGCGAATTTGAGACATTTAAGACGATGTGTCGATGCGGAATAATAGTTCAACTAAAAATGCTTTTCTTGTTTGCGATATTCTCAATTAGATTTTTTAAAATAAATTTACATTAAACGAATCATAGCTTTTACATGTATATCTTTAATAAAATATTCTTGATGTTTCAGTCAGTTATATCAGCATTTACTTATCGTCCAGTTAATAAAAATAAAGGTATAATATTACTTCTTTTCCACAACATATTCTTGAATATTTCAAGAATTTGAATAGATACTTAGAATGAAATGTTAATTGTAACTACATTATTATTAATATTTCTCTTATTTATTTTGGTTTACAACCACAATACGCACGAGATACGAATATAGATTACTCATTTGTTCAATAAAGATCTATTACTAAGGCTACATAATTTCAGCTTTTTTTCGAAAGTTGTGCATTTATTTTTAGTTTCTAGTAGTTCTTACACATTTCCTAACTATTTTAAATAGCATTTCATTTTCTTGCTACATTAAAAATCTGAGATGCGTGAAAGACGATTTGTGTAAGAAGGGAGTGAGCGAAGAAATGGTATATGATAGAGGAGTATGAAAGGAGAAAACATGTTGCGTCGACCCCAGGTGACTGGGAGAAGGGTAGGAGATTTTTTTTTTAAATGTGATGCTAAAATTATTAATATTCGTAAAACTATTTAAAGCAACTGTATTCTATAAAGTCATGAGTGGTTCAATATTTATTTAATATGTCAAGTGTCATATTTTTTTTATTATCCTTCAGTTTGTTCTTTGATATTAGTTCGTGCAATTGACAAAATATAATGGTCGATGTAGTAAACTGTAAACTTGCAGATACTTTTATGGATATCAGATGCACTACATTTTATTTTATCACAATTGTTATTTACAATTAAACGCGGTGACTGCTCTAGCTTATTTTGGAAATTAATTGGCTTGAATCAAAACATTATTGTTCTATTGTTAGCTGACTGGTCTTGTTTAGTATTTATAATTATGATTGAATAAACTGTACCTATGGAACGATCTTATATTTCATAATAAATATAATAGTAACAATGTAAAACTTAAAATGTGTTTTGGTAAAAAGATCTCTATTTCCGAGACCAGAGGATCTGTTATCTTTGAAATCAACAAAACTGAACACATTCAAATGAAACAACAATAAAACATCACAAGCCTTTGGCATCATTATGTTATCGCATACATCTATTTGAACTATAAAACGAACAACAACAAAAAGTACTTTAATAATAAAAATAATCTTAAGTAATTAAAAAAAAATAGCTGTGTATTCTTAGTTTTTATAACAATAATGCTACATTTTAAAAGCTTTATCTGATTTAATTAGAGCAACAGTATTCGTCATTCAAATATTTGGCTGTTTACTATATATATCTTTTTAGTGGAGAGCATTTTGAATTAGCTGCTTAGAAATAATTTTAAGCATGCTTATTATATTAGTGTACGTGTTATAACGTTAAGCTAGTTGATCAAGTCCAATTTGAATCAAAGGCATATTGTTTTAATGTTTATTTTGATGGACAGATAGTTCACACGACAAAATCTTCAGTTTCTGCTCTATCTTTATAATGTTGATGCTAGTTTTTTACACAGGGTACAATGAAATCGTTTCCGGAAGCGAAGGCGGATACATTGAGTGATTATTTATCACTACCGTATTGTAATGATCATCAATTCATATTCCTCCGAACGTTTTTTCAAGCACGCAATGTAAGACGTTTAAGAGTCAGCTGACGCGAGGGGTCAACGGCCTCGAGGGAACGCGGGGGCGGTTCTAACCGCTCCGGCGTTCCCTCGAGGCGAAGTAACGAAGTAAGTAGGCAGGTAGGCAGGTAGGTAATACGAAGGTAGTCTACTACTTTCGTGTTACACTAGCTACTACGGCTTCATGAAATATTATCTTACTGAGACGGAAACTGTTTATGCATCGTTCATTAAAAGAATTATGTCAGACCAGTGATTTTTACCGGCTCCTGCATCGGAACCGATTGCAATACATCTTTTATTACGTTTCAAAATTTGCTGCCTTAAATAGGTTATTGGAAAAAGAATACCGATACTTTAACTTAATTTTTTTTTACATTTTTTTTAAATATTTTACTTTTCCTATTCTGTATTTCAATGGTCATGGTCAATTGTTAATATTTTTTTCATAATAAACTTTTCCGGATTCAAAATCCTTAACGGTCGTTCCAATTTTTTATCAATATATATATATATATAATAAAAGGAATAAATGTGGTAAACTATGAATTTACGATTAACAGTAAAATAATGATGATTTTTTTTGTGACATGACTCAATCCATTTGTCATAATACCCTTCCTCTAAGGACACTTTTTGCTGAACATAAAATACAAAAGATACATTTTTTACACAGATTTCTTAGACACGGTAATTTCTTATTTCCAACCGGTAGTTAATTATGTTTCGATTAAATAGTAATAATAAAAAACAAACAACACAATAGTAGTTATTTTTTAAGTATTTTGTAATTTAAATATTGGATTACGGATTTTCCTGAATTAACGCTCCATCATGAATTTATCGTTTTAACATTTCCAACATTATTTATCATTATCATTATTATAAATTTTAGTACTGGATTGATTCTTAAATGGATACTAGGTATTGACAATATACGAGCCGGTGTGATCATGTTACCAAAGTACTACTTACTTACAAGTGTTCTAATATTTTTATTTTTCATTTATAGGTTTAAATTATACTTTCAACATTAAATATATTAAGGCAAACTTAAGGTTGAACTGGAGATCGCAAAATTAATCTATATAGTACAGTAAAAAGGTGTAACGGAATAAAAATTGTTTTGAATTCAATACATTGGTCTATTGTAAATGATTTGTAAAAGATTTACACGTCGTATCTCATTCATTCAATGTTATTGCGAGCCACATTGAAATCGTTTTAAACCTGGCCAATGTTGGGCAATGTTTGGCCAAATATTTGATTTACTCACAAACGTCAAGATGAAATCAGCACATCAACTAAAACCGCGTATGAGTGTTTTTCAGTAAAAGTGAATGTTTAATGTGTGTTGAAAAACTGACAAGTAGCGGGGTTTAGATATTAATTTGTATCATTCCCGTGAATAAAGCAAATTTAATGTGAGTATCAGCTGCTTTCACAAAGAAATCGAATGTTACCAATACCAGCCAAGTATTTGAAGGAAATGGATTGAGCCTAACAACAAGTCTTATGTAAAATTCGATTGACGAAATAGCCAGCTACTATACAATGGCGAGTAATTATACATTTCTAGAAGTTCCTAATTAGGTCCTTCAATGGTCAAAATACGAACAACCATAGTCAAACGAAATTTTTAGTCATTATTGGCTGCAAAAAGCTTAATATTTTTTTAACGATACGGTCACTTATTTATTATTCAGTCAGTTTATCTAGCACGAATTATCATTGATCACATACGAAAACATTGTCGAATCTATAATAATTTTGAGATCTTATTATATCCGTTACTATTCAAGGTCTCATTAAATTCAAGTTATTTAAAACTGTAGATCAAAAACGATCGTAAATTAGATAGTTATTTTTTTCTGTGGAATCTAAAGAAACATAATTTGTCGCATAAAATGGTAGCGTTTCTATATTTTCCGTCAATGAATGAAAACAATCATTTTCATTACAAGAACAACCTACATTGAATCTTTGTACAAAATCCCTGTAGGTACATTACAAATAATTTGTTGCGAGCCTAACGAAATCTCGAAAATAAGAACTTCACATGTTTACGCAACGCAGCTTTTTCTCGGGTATTCTAGAGGCGAATTGATTGCTAGGAACGGCCACTTTGACCTCTCTTTCTGCTCTTTCTTGTTCCCCAACTAAAGACCTTAAGCATATCTTGAAATCGGCAGCGAACTTCCTGACTAACCTTTCTAAGGAGAAAAGGTGATCGTCTAATGCCTCAGGAATTTCTTCTCTCATGAAGTCTGCCAGCCTTAGGAGATACTCAACGTTTGAGCCAGATGGACCACGGCATTCCAGTATTTGTTTCGCTATATCTGGCAAAGGCGCCGATCCAAGCCAATGTTTATTCTCTGGAAGGGCTATGTACAACAAGGCATCCTTTTTATCTGCTCTAGTGGCCGGTAAAAAGGGTGTTGGATGGAAGTTCACAACGCAGGTCTTGTAGCCACCTAATTTGCATTCTCTTTTGGTGAGATAAGGCAGTGCTACGCTGTTTTCTGCGGCCACCAAAAACGCTTTACCCCAAGTTATTCCCTGTAACAAAAATGAGATGGTATTAGTGGGAATTGTTTGTACAAATTAAATTTAACAGTATTAAAATTTTGCAATAATAATATGTATTAAACATTGTCAAATTTAAATATTTTGGGATAATTTAATGAAGCCATAATTAATATAATTGCATCACAGTCCGATCAGATAGTCCGAGACAATTAGTTAAACGTTCAACACCAAGCTATATGATGCTATCCATGAAACCAAGGATTACCACAAATTGATCTACCTAATGGAGACAAGAGGCCCAGAATCGGGTCGCGTGGAGTGTCCTGGGAAAGGCTTATGTCCAATAGTGTACTATAATAGGCTATTAATAATGAAATATCTTATAGGAAAAAAAATCGCACAAATATTTTAAAATAATATCAAGATAGCAAGATAGAATTTCAAGCATTCTCAGACATCTTTCTTATCTCGAGACTATATTTTAGATAGATGTTAGAAGAGTTTGCTATCAGTAATGTACTGTTGACACATTTGGGACACTGTCCCTACACTTTATTTTTAATAAGATTTATCTAGTAATGTTTAGGAATAATATTGTACGATACCTATCATGTAAATTAAACTATATTCGTTGTTTAAATAAGAAAAGAAAGCACCACAAGCAAGACTGGGGAATTTTGGGCCTCGATTTAAATAACTTTAGATATTTTTAAAATATTGAGTAATATTTCTACTTCACATTGTGAAAAAGTAGAATCTGCTATTAAGAATAGAGTGGTGAGCTTGTATCGAACATTAAATAATAATATCGTCAATATATACTCAAAATTACTGATCAAAAGGCTAAATGTGGGCCAGCAAGGGTAGACACCGCCATCCTGTCCGTTAGCAATCGTTACAGCTTGAATGATGGGACAGTCGGCGTTCAATAGAGTTTAGACTTCGACATCGCGATCCATCTGGTTTATTACAGGCACGAGGTCTAGGTCCAAACAATGGATTATTTAAAAAAATCTGCAAAATGCGATATGAATCAACTATTGTATTTTCGTGACTACTTTCTGCGTAGACAGTGACTTTTAATGGAACCTTCTTTGTATCAATAGCTAATGATAATACATGGATTAATAGATGTCACTCATCATTGTGATTGTGATCGTACTGTCTTATTCTTATTTTTGTCGAACATAATTTTCCGTAATGATTACATTACAATACCAAACTAAGGGCCCTTGCACGATTTCTTATTGATTAAAGTATAATAAAAATTAATATTAAGCCATTAGTTGTGTAAACGTCTAGCATCTTGTTATTCTACAAATATGTTTTTATAAAATAACGAAATCACATTTCGATTATCACCTGTTAAAGTTTCTATAATCTAAGTACCGAACTTATGAAAATTGTTAAGGATTTCTTAATTAAATCTAGCAGTTCAATTGTGTTCAAGAATTACTGGATAGGTAATTTTAAAAAAAAACAACTGCTATGTAATATTGGTTGTGGTTTTTTTCCAAACCAATAATGGATATTTTATGAAAATTTAATATAGTATTTCGCCTCAGCCTAGGGTTTTATATAAATCTTAAAATAATGACAGGCTCAGACACACATTTTCCAATTCGTGCGTAGTATGTAGATTGTAAAATAGCATATATTAGACATTTATATTCCGTAAGCGAAATGTAAATAACGTGCAGACACGTCATTTTCTTTTTTGTAGACATTCTTTAATCGTATATCGAAATAGATTAGGCACCGCGTTTACGATCGCTATACTAACACCAGAGTTTAGTATTCATTCATGGCCTTCAAATATTAATGTATTTAAAATTTTGCTCAAACAGACACGTGTCTCCCGCGTGATAATGTTGTGTGTGCCAGATGTAAGTCACATATTGTTGATGATTTTTGTAGGTGCTGATTCGATTGAATGTACAGTTTATGGTCAGAGTCGATTTGAGCAGGTACCTCGCCACTCAAATTGATATAATATGAAGTGGACGAATTGCCCCGTCAGGGCGTAGCTGAAATAGCCCTCAGGCTAGTCTTTACAACACAGTCCACGTCGCAACACCATTTGAATAATGACAGTCTTATCTTTCATAACAAATTCGAGCAAGAATATTTGTTTCGGGATAGAAATAAGTACGACACTAGTATGAGTTCAAATAGTTTGATTGAAAAGCAGTCCTCAAGATGGGAGATAAATGAAGAGTTGGGTAAAGGGTAAGAGTAATAGGAACAAATAATTTTAAAATACCAATGAAGGCATGGTATAATCTAAAGATTATTCCTGCACTACCAAAAGTGAATGTTTAACTAAGTTAACTAAGTCAAGTCGTCTCTAAATGTTTTTATTGTTTATAAATTATTTAAGTTATGTATATTATTTGAAATATATATATAATATGTTATTTTGAATTAGGATCTTTTCAACCTCATCTGGTCATTTGCTCTTTAGTAATAATCCGAAAAACTATTTCTTTGTCTCTGGAAATACGTCCGAGTTTAAAAATCCAATTGGTAAAAGCGACACGTATTTTACACGTATACGCTCCTATTTGAAAAATTGAGGCCCGCAAGTGAAACCGAAGTCACTCTTATTCCTTTTTAAAATTGAATAAATCTTGTTTTAATTTCTATAGAGAGGCAAGAAAAAAATGTTATCTTTATACAAAAGGTGTCGACGAGTCATCTCAACAAAATCATATCATATTTAGCGAGTTAACACAAAACGTGGACGGAATTCACTATTGTTTACCTTATATATTAATATGTTTTATTCATAAATTCATGTTTATATTAGTAAGTGCATGTATTAATCTGGATAGTATGACAAACATAATTACTACAGTAAATATTTGTAGAAAAAAACGGATTCCGATAATAATATTAAGTTCATTAAACCTATTATCCTGTAATTATATTTATTTATGTTAACTAGTGGATTTTACTGTCTAGGTATTATTGATACTATTGTTCATGATGTGGGGGACAAAAACAACGCAGTCCACAGCCAGCTAACTACGTAAATATACCAAACCAATTGTTGATTTTTTATTCTTTTTGATGATAAAAAATATTATAATAGATTTTAGCAAGCCTGTTATTTACAGTACAGTCTGTTATTTAAATGCTACTTAAATTTTGATTATGTTGTTGTTGGAGACTGTAGTAGGACGTTTTGTGAGTCCGCACGAGTGGGTATCATCAGCACTCTGCCTATTTCTGCCGTGAAGCAGTAATACGTAAAGTCAAGAGCCGTTCTTATAAGAAATTTAATATTACTTCCTTCTTACCGTATTCAAAATTAGTCTGTGTATAAAATTTCTAAGCTAATGTGAATGCCACATAGTATTCACAGAGCTCGTGTACTAATTTGAGTATTTGCCAAAAAGTACGACGTACTTCCATAGTTTTGTTTACAATCTATTTCGAAATATTCGATGCTACCAAATCACATGAATGTGCGTGAAATAACAGCCAATAGAAAGGTTATTGACGTACGACGACTTGAAATGAAACTGAGAGTTTGGCTACAAATACTATGATCACAAATCGTAATTTTAAGCATTACTACGTATTCTCAGGCTGAGACCTGATCACTGAAATCTGCAGACCGCAGACGCATTGACGCCTTTGAGATGTGGTGCTGGAGAAAGATGCTGCGTATTCCGTGGACAGCATTTCGGACCAACGTATCAATCTTGCAAGAACTCAAAATCTCCTCGCGGCTGTCATCCGAGTGTCTTCGCAGAGTCCTTGAATACTTTGGTCACATCGCACGCAAGGATGGTAGCAATCTCGAGAGGCTCATTGTGACTGGTAAGGTAGATGGGAAAAGACCTCGGGGGCGCAGCCCAATACGTTGGTCTGACCAGATCCGCACCGCTCTTGATTCCACGTTTCACAACGCCCTCCACACCGCCAGAGACAAGAATGGATGGAGAAAGATCGTGCGTGCGAAGGTGATACAAAAGGGTGGTCACGACCCTTAGCAATGAGGAATACGACGCAAGGAGGACGTATTCTCAAATACCAGCTTTCAATTTGACTTCAAGCCAGAAGAGAGCCGTTTGAATGGCTGGCTAGAAATGTTATGCTTACAAATTGTAATTTTAAGCATTACTATATAACGCTTTCGCGGCCGACCATCCGCAAGGTGGACAGACTTGATTAAGTCATCTACGAAGTGTTCCCTTACTGAATGTACACGTACCGCCACAAATAGAGAGAGATGGAGAAGTTTCTCAAAAGCCGCACGAAGCATTAAGACATACGTAACCACGACCACTCCGCCAGGAGTGTACGACTGAGAAGAAGAAAAACATATTCCCAAATACCAGCTTTCATTTTGATTTCAAGCCAGAAGAGAGCCATTCAAATTGTCTATAATCCCGATCGTACGTATCGTTTGGAACCTCTGAATCTAGAGAGGGTATTGTTTATCTGTGTGTTGTATTCGTGTTTCATGGGAATTGTCATCCAGTAACCACTTAACAGCAGGTGGGCTGTGAGCTCGTCCACCTATCTAAGCAATAAAAAAAAAGACCGAAAACGTTAATAAGAACACTGATGACCGAGAATCGAATCTGGACTGTATCTTTCACTGGGATCTGTCGGAATCATTAACCACGTAACTAGATACGCGATCAAACTTAAACATTGACTTAAGTTGCAATTTCGATCCGGTGCCGCGGTGGTAGATTCAACGAAGCACTGCTTTACTGTACTTAGTGTTATTGAAGTTGAAGGACCTCAGGATACCTCCGATGTTAAATGTGAGTGTTACGTATACGTAAATGGTTCACAAAATACCATAATACAATATCTATATATATATAAAAACGAATTGCTATTCGTTAGTCTCGCTAAAACTGGAGAACTGCTGGACCGATTTGGCTAATTTTGGTTTTGAATTATTTGTGGAAGTCTAGAGAAAGTTTAAAAGGTAGATAAATATGAAAATGCTCGGAATTATATAAAAACAAACAATTTTTTTTTCCTTTGAGGTGTCCCCTGTCGGA